TTGACATGAATCCAGAGACTCGCACAAAGCTGGTGGAGAACTTCATCAAGGGATGCGTTTGTACATATGCAACCGTAAGAAAAGAAAAATCCCCTCAGCACTTCATCTGGTCTGGGGACTTTTGTTTAGAAACTCCAGCTTGTTCATGAATCGCTGTTTTGGTTATAGAGAGTTCCCGATTTGCAGTGGCAAAGACTTGAGGCCCTGACGTGCACCTCTGCCCTGAGAGCAGGGAAGGTGAAGGTTGTCAACTTCAGGTATCTCCTCACAGGGAGAGAGTCGCCAGTCGGGCCCCATCACAATGTTAGCGTAAAGGAGTCAAATCAAACGTGAATGACCAGGGGCCAGTTTGTAAGACTCAGTGCTCAGTTATTCCAAGTTTGAGAATATTCAAAAGAGGGAAAGTCGAACCTTTTAGCCGAGATGTGAAATGAGCAGATGTTCCCGGAATTGGCTCATCGTGACACAGAATGCCAGCCCAAATTTGCTGTCCAGACAGGTTCCTGTGCTGACAGAGGCAGCTGACGAGTTTTGCTCTCCTTTAGGTGGATCCAAGAGGAAGAGAGCACGGAGCAGCGGGCCGAGGAGACTGAGAGCAGGCCGGGCAGGGCGCGCTTAGGCAGCCTTCGGCGTTTTGAGTCCCTGAGCTCCCTCAACCTGTGTCCTGCCTCCTCACTTGCCAGCTCCTGCCCGCCCAGCAGGGCGCCCTCCCCACCCCGAAGGAGGCGGCGCAGCCTGGCGCACGAGGGAGACCGGCTGGGCATCATGACTGCGGTATGTGTCTGCCTCCTCCCTGCCACATCCCTCCCCGAGCACACTGTTTTTCTTTCTTTGTTTTTTCTCTTTATCCCCAGAGGAAAATCAGGTACATTTTCTATGCTCAGAGGGCTAAGAGTTTTAAAACTGCCTGGTCTTTAATCATTCCATAATGGCACAGGGACCAATTAGTGTTGATATTTGCACCACCGGCTTAGCGGGCCATCATGAACTCAGCCAGAGCCTGCCTCTGGAGCGGTGGGCCTGGCCTGTGCTGGGCACGACAGCGGCAGGGAAGTTCCTGTCGTCAGGGAGCAGACAGCCTCGTGAAAGTTACCACAGGCAGCCCTCATGGCGAGTGAAAGGCGGGCAGCACATGTTCCACCGGGGTCGCCTGGCTGCAGGGTGCAGGGCATGCGGTGGCAACAAAACCAAGAATCTGAACTGGTCCGCTTGCTGATGGGCCTTGCCGCACGCGCTCAGGCCAGCTGTGCGCGTGAAACCAGTTAAAGGCCCGGGGCCCCAGGGCCCCAGGGAAGAAGTCGGGCTGCCTCACTCTTCCGCGTCTCAACACGGGATGACAACCTAGGGCTTCTGGTGACAGAGTGTGCGGCTCTAAAGCACATGTGCCAGCTTTCTTGCCTGTGTAGCCTAGTTTTCTGAGTGCATTGCTGTTTACCCCGTGAATCTCGTGTACAACACTCTGCCTTGAAACTGCACCTGTATTATCCCTTTCTTCTGTTCCCACCCATTTCATGTTAGCTGCGTTGTTAGCATAGAATTAAAATAAATGTGGGTCATTTTAGCTGCATGTGAAGTAGTACCTGGTCCATTTTGTGGTCTTTTGACACACTGCTTTTATAATTTGTATCATTGTCTAAGTCGTTGATATTTAAAATTCTTGGCCATTTCTCTGTGGCTCCATGCTTGATTTCTTGCGGAGTGTTTGCGAAAGAACAGTCCTGAATAATTTTTCCTTCTGGCGTTTTCTGACGGTGTGCCTGCTCTCATCATTGGTTTTGATTTCCTGACTCATCGTGTTGTCTCTCTAGCCGTCATCAATCCAGATCCCAGCCTCCCATCCCCCCCACCGGAGGCTGTAGTTCACACATCCATCTCCCCTCCCCATCCTCCCACTCGCTCTGGTCATATCAGTGCTGTGTCCCGTTAGTCTGGTTTGTGGTTTGTCTTCGTGTCTCATTGAATGGTGTTTTTCCTGCATAGCAGTAAGTTAGAGTTAGTGCACCACTATACAGTTAAAAGCATAATGTAGATGGATCATACGCTGTATGGACAGCAGATGCCTCTCCCAGGCAGCCTTCAGAGACCCCCAGTGGGCACTGCAGAGTGCCCTGGAGGAGGAGTCTGCTGGTTCCCGTTGTGCCATTTGAAGGCGAGAGAAGTGAGAGGATGTGCTGACCGGGCTGCTAGGGGTGAACCCATAGGCAGCTGGTGCGCTGGAGGGGAGCAGGGATGGTGGCAGGTGGTCTTGCTGCCAGCGAAGGGGGTAGCCCAGCCCTGGGGAGGGGTTGTGAGGAAGTCAGGGGGCGAGGGCTCTGGCCACGGGGGCCAGGTAGCCGGCAGCCAGCACCTCGAGGCTGCCCCTCAGTTGCTTTGAGGTCATGTGTGGGAAAGAAGGCAGGACCTGGGTTGAGAGTCGGACAGGGGGGAGATTTGCCGAGAGAAGGTTGTGAGGTGTGAGAGCAGGAGGGCGGCACAGGGCCCAGCAGGCACTCTCCCGTGCGTCTCTGATGGCAGAGCCGCCCTTGCGGTGCGAGGGGCTATCCCCCAGCAGAGCCCGAGTGCCTGTGCCCCGAGAGGACAGCCGCGGAGGGCTCCCCTCCAGTTCCCTGGCTGCCCCTGCTCGCTCCTCTCTCTGCATGTTCGGGCCAGCCTGGAACACGTAGGGCTGGGAACCTGGGAGGACGGCACTCCTCGGGGAACTAGTACAAGTGACGACCGCTGAGGCGGACCCAGCGGCTGCGGAGCGGAAGGATTTTTTCCTTCTTATTTTCCTTCAGCCTGCCTGATGGAGGCATGGATGTATGTTTGCAATTTTGCGTTTTTGTCCCTGACTCCGTCAGCGCACTCTTGTGAATAACCTGATAGGATTGCCTTCCGTCCACGCTGACCTGAGTGTCAGCAGGCCATCTAGGAACTAGATTCTCCTCCGGCCCATTTCTTCAGTACTGCTCGCTTAAGAGATGGCAGTGTCTCATAGGCATGGCCGTTTATCCAAAGTCGGGCTTCCATGTAAAATTGTGTTCGGTTCCTGATAGACGTGAGCTGTCCTGAATGTCGCTGACCAGCTGTGGTCCTCTCATGCCCAGGTGCAGAGCCAGAGGGAGCAGGACTGGGAGTCCGCGCAGCAGACCCGCGTGGTGGCCACCATGGCCCAGGACTTCGAGAGTGACGAGGATGTGTCTGACGGCGAGGGCGACAGGGTCACCCTCTTCAGCTCGGCCGGTCAGCTGCCGCCCAGTGGGCAGGCCGATGCCGACACTCTGCCTGTGATGCCTCGGGAGCAGCTGGACACCATCAGTGAGGAGACCCGGTGGGTGTGCCCGAACTCGGCTCCCCAGAAACTGGGCTTCTCTGAGGAGCTGTCTTCTCCTACGAGAAGTCTTGAGTGTTCCATAGTGAGAAAACTGACTTCAGGCCTGCTTCAAGGATTTTCAGTTCTCAGACCACCCTTGATGAGAGAGCTCAGACAGGCAGGCCGTTCTGTCCACAGCTGGTGTCAGCACTCTGTGGGGGGGGGGCTTTGTGGGGTGTCCCCCCCCCAGCTCTGAGCCCCAAGGTGGGTGAGGTGCCGACGCAGTGTCCTCTGCGTCCCGTGTGCCCTCCAGCACTGAGAGTTCACCCTCCCGTGTCCATCGGAGACTCCCACGTTCTGGTGAAAAGCTACCTGGAACAGAAAAGCAGGGGTTTGGGGGTTGGCAAATTCCCATTCAGATCTGCATTGTCCTTTTCAAGTTAATACAGTGTGAAGATTGGCTTGTTGTAAGACAGTGGCCCAAAACATGTGTTTGAGCTTTTTTCATCTCATCAGGTTATTTAAGATATTTTCTTTAGACACTGTCTTCTCAGTTGTAACAGTTTACAGCTCGAGATAGAAGGCAAAGGTCTGCCTGGTGATGAGCAGCAGGTCTTGGTTCTGGGTGTAGCTGGGTGTCCGGGGGCCCCGAGGCCTGCCTGGGCCACACCCGCACAGCTGAGCCCCTGTCCCGGTTCCACGTGCAGAGCGGTCACAGGCCGGTGACCATGTGCAGGACCAGGCAGAGGTGCTGCTTAGATTGTTGTCTTCACGTCAGCCCAGGCCGAGATGCCCGGTCCTCAGTGCCGAGCACGTGGGGCTCGGGGGGAGGGTAGCCGAGAATGGCACAGCCAGCAAATGCAGGTGGTGCCACCTGCACTTTTGATGCCGAGACAGACTGCCTCCTTGGCCTTGTTTCAGCTCAGATTAGCTCAGAAAGATGGGCTTTCCCTGTCCCCGCAGGTAATATGGAACGGTTGCATATTAATATTTTTTTATTACAGCAAGTTTTCAGGTAAAGTGAATTTTCCTTAGGCAGTAAGTTGACTTCTTTTATGAATAGTAAATTGTGTCCATCAGCTTGCTATCACAAGTGAAAAACTTTCAAGACTTTTACGTAGAATGAAGCTGAAGAGGTTATGACCTGCAGGAATCCCGTGTTTTAATTTGGAAATCATTTTATAGGCATCATTGTGTATTTCAACTGCTATATAAAATCATCCACTACACATTAGGGGAGAAGAACAGTAAGCGTGAATTCTAGGTTAATGCGGCAGATTGACATGAATCCAGAAACTCACACACAGCTGGTGGAGAATTTCATCAAGTGATGTGTTGTTACACATACATCCTTAAAAAAGTAAAAATCCCCTCAGCACTTCATCTGGTCTGGGGAGTTTTGTTTAGAAACTCCAGCTTGTTTGTGAATCGCTGTGTTGGTTATAGAGAGTTCCCGATTCCCAGTGGAGAAGACTTGAGGCACTGACGTGCACCTCTGCCCTGAGAGCAGGGAAGGTTAAGGTTGTCAGCTTCAGGTATCTCCTCACAGGGAGAGAGTCGCCACACAGGCCCCGTCAGAATGTTAGCGTAAACGAGTCAAATCAAACGTGAATGACCAGGGGCCAGTTTGTAAGACTCAGTGCCAAGTTATTCCAAGTTTGAGAATATTCAAAAGAGGGAAAGTCGAACCTTTTAGCCGAGATGTGAAATGAGCAGATATTCCTGGAATTTGCTCATTGTGACACAGAATGCCAGCCCAAATTTGTTGTCCAGACACGATGCTGTGCTGACAAAGGCAGCTCACGAGTTTTGGTCTCTTTTAGGTGGCTCCAGGAGGAAAGGGAGAGCACGGAGCAGCGGGCCGAGGAGACTGAGAGCAGGGTGGGCGGAGCACGCTTCTGCAGCCTTTGGCATTTTTTTTGTCTGTTTGTTTGTTTTTTTTGGTCAGTGCATTTTATTTAATCAGCACAGTACAAAAATAAATAAAAATAAAGAGAAGGGAATTAAATTACAGCCAAACTGAGCTTTATGACCTTTTTAGATTATAAACCACACATACTTACAACCACGCTATGCATACATACAAAAATGAGACAAATATAAATTAATATTAACAATACCCACAGTTTGGTCAAAGAATAGCTACAGAAGAAATTGCACTAAAAAACCAGCATACGTCGCTCGTGTGTTATTAGCAGTTTCAAATATACAGCTAAGAATAGTTCCAAGTGGGCAAAAAAAATGGCACATTTCCTTTTCATTGCAAGTTTCACAACTGCTAGAACAAAACTAAGTTCTAATAACTGTATGGAAAGAATATATCAACCCTTCAGGTTTTACAAGAAAAAAGAGAAAAACCAAATTCTGAACTATTATTCCTGTGACTTGTTCTGTGCACGGGTGTAATTTTCACAGCCATCTGTTCTCAGATTATTTTTCTTAAGACACAAAATGCTCCTAGTTTGCATGCACAATATCACTGTAAAAGCAACAATTAAAGAATAAAGGGTGGGGTTTTTTTTGTAGGTTAGTTTTTTTCCCTTTTTTTAAAATTGTGCTCAAATTAGTCTTCGTAGCAGCATGTCGAACGGCTTCATTGCTTGCACACTCAAGTGTATCAGTCTCTTTACACAATGCTGATGACCAGTGCAGAGGAGCAGACCTCGCCAGGCTTCACATGGATGGAGCTAGAGAGTTCTTTCTTTAGTCCCCAACCATTCCTGAAATTTGCACCGCCTCCATAAATTAAAAAAATAAATATGGAGAGAGAGAAGGAAACACACAAAACTGCAATCCCGCGAGTGCGCCTTCCCTCAGTGTCAGGCCCGGCAAGGCCCACGAAGGAGCAACTCCAGACCCCTGGGTCCCGGCTCTTGACACTCGGCCCCCCAACAGCACCCCCCCCAACCCTCCCGTGCTGCCGGGGCCCCGACGCCCCCACCGGCCGCCTACCTTGGGTCCCACACGGCAGCAGGATCTGCAGAGACAGGCTGTGTGACAACTCCCGTGGAGAAGAGGCGCTGCACGCGAGGTCCCCGCCAGGTTCCTTCCAGCCCTGCGGCAGGTAAATCTGGCCTGCGGTGCTGGGAGCAGCTCAGCATGAGCCTCGGGGCGCAGCTGAGGCCCATGCTCCCAGCTTGGGGCAGGCCCTCGTTCTCGCAAGCACCACGGGCCCGCAGGCTCGCTGCAGGGCCTATTAACTCCGGACCTCAGTTTCACAGCTCTCTCTTTTTTATGTGAATTTCAGTACTGCTTGTGCTGAAATGGCAGCCACCTGGAAGCTAATCCTATGTAAAACGGCCCCCTGCCTCCCCTTCCAGCCACCCTTGAAGGGGTTGAGACTGGAAGAGAGAATTCTCTGTGGGCCTTCACATCAGTCTTTGTTCCCCAAAGCCAGAGGGATTGCAGGTGGCTAGCTCCCTTCTCTGGGTCCTCTCCCAAGCCCCCAGCCACCGATCTGGGAGAATCAGAAAGAAAATTAAGCGACACATCATGGGCTTTTTCAGCCACTGGTGTTGAAGGTGGAGACCGAAACAAGCAGCTGCAAATGATCAGTGGCAGAATCAGCAGGCAGTCAGGAGTTGGGCTCCCAGCTCGTAATTGTCTCCAAGATCCAGCTGTCTCACTGGGCCTTTCGGGACAAGGCTTCGTCTTCAGGAGAGACTCAACTGTTTGGAAACAGCTTTAAATCAACGGGGTGAGGGGAGGGGTGCATCATTACCACATCACCCTGATCCCTGACATCACCCCCGCCCCAACCCCTGCAGCTCTGCAGGGCAAATGCCATGGGCATTGGCAGGAGCCTGAGCCCTTAGGTGGGCACCAGCTCAGTCCCAGGCATGGCAGCCCCACCTTGCCCGGGAGGCAGGCTGTTGACAGTGGGCACCTGCAGCTGCCCTGGCCTTCGCCACGGGATGACTAAGCTGCATGATTCAAATGAAAAATTCACCCAAGAAAGGAGTTGTCCCTGGCATCACCCACCCCTTGGGAGCCGGGACCCAAAATGAAAGGACTTAGTGAGTCAAACCAGCTCATTAACCAACACTACCAACAGGGCTGGGGGTGGGGGACGAAGGAGGGGAGGTTTGGAGGAGGGGCTGTGGGGGCAGTTCCATGTCTCCACAAAGGAAAGCCCTTCTCCCGAAAAAAGAAGAAAGACCAAACCAGGGTCGTGCATGGCCAAATTAAGAGGACATGATCTTCGCACCAGGCCGGCTTCCCCTCGATTGAAGAGGCTGTCCCAGGGCCAGGGGCGTTTGGCCTTCTAAGCCCACGTGCGGCGCAGTCCAGGTGGCCGGCTCCAGGAGCCTCTGGGAGAACAGACGACCCAAAACAGGAGCCAGCAAATGGCCTCCAACCAGAAACTCCCAGCGTTTTAAGTCACTGAGCTCCCTCAACCTGTGTCTTGCCTCCTCACTTGCTGGCTCCTGCCCGCCCAGCAGGGAGCGCTCCCGTCCCCGAAGGAGGTGGCACAGCCTGGCGTGCGAGGGAGACCAGCTGGACGTCATGACTCCGGTATATGCCTGCCTCTTCCCTGCCACATGCCTCCCCAAGCACACTGTTTTTCTTTCTCTGTTTTTTCTCTTTTTCCCCAGAGAAAATCAGGTACATTTGCTACGCTCAGAAGTCTAAGACTTGTGAAACTGCCTGGTCTTTAATCATTCCATAATGGCACAGGGACCAATCAGTCTTGATATTTGGACCAGCGGCTTAGCAAGCCATCGTGAACTCAGCCAGAGCCTGCCTCTGGAACGGTGGGCCTGGCCTGTGCTGGGCACAACAGCGGCAGGGAAGTTTCTGTCGTCAGGGAGCAGACAGCCTCGTGAAAGTTACCACAGGCAGCCCTCATGGCGAGTAAAAGGCGGGCAGCACATGTTCCACCGGGGTCGCCTGGCTGCAGGGTTCAGGGCATGCGGTGGCAACAAAACCAAGAATCTGAACTGGTCCGCTTGCTGACGGGCCTTGCCATGTGCTCAGGCCAGCTGTGCACGTGAAACCATTTAAAGGCCCCGGGGCCCCAGGGCCCCAGGGAAGAAGTCGGGCTGCCTCACTCTTCCGCGTCTCAACACGGGATGACGACCTAGGGCTTCTGGTGACAGAGTGTGCAGCTCTAAAGCACATGTGCCAGCTTTCTTGCGTGTGTAGCCTAGGTTTCTGAGTGCATTGCTGTTTACCCCTTGAATCATGTGTACAACACTCTGCCTTGAAACTGCACTTGTATTATCCCTTTTTTCTGTTACCACCCATTTCATGTTAGCTGTGTTGTTAGCATAGAATTAAAATAAATGTGGGTCATTTTAGCTGCATGTGAAGTGGTACCTGGTCCATTTTGTGGTCTTTTGACACGCTGCTTTTATACTTTGTATCATTGTCTAAGTCGTTGATATTTAAAATTCTTGGACGATTTCTCTGTGGTTTCATGCTTGATTTCTTTCCGAGTATTTGTGAAAGAGCAGTCCTGAATATTTTTTCCTTGTGGAGTTTTCTGACGGTGTGTCTGCTTTCATCATTGGTTTTGATTTCCTGACTCATCCTGTTGTCTGTTTAGCCGTCATCAATCCAGACCCCAGCCTCCCATCCCTCCCAACGGAGGCTGTAGTTCACACATCCGTTTCCCCTCCCCCATCCTCCCACTTGCTCTGGTCATATCAGTGCTGTGTCCTGTTAGTCTGGTTTGTGGTTTGTCTTCGTGTCTCATTAGATGGTGTTTTTCCTGCATAGCAGTAAGTTAGAGTGAGTGTATCACTGTACAGTTAGAAGCATTGTGTAGGTGGATCATCCACTACATAACCTGTGTAATCATAAGTGAGATTATGCTTACATGGAGAAATGATCCTCTAAATGTATAATTAATGGTCTTTTGACCCAATATCCTTTCTGTGTTGATGCTTGGAGTTTAGACGGTAAATCTCATCAGCTTTTGCATGTTTAATGTCTCTACTAGACTCTTTTACAAAGTATCATTTATGGTTCATAAGATGTGAAGATTCCACTTGCTATTATGCTAGCTTTCCTTACAAATTTTCGTGGGATACCTGCTTTAATGGATTTATTCTGAAAAGTTTTATATCAAATTCTAGGTAAGGATTTTACATTAATGTCCAATAGTTGGTTAGATTTGTTCAGGTTTAAAATAGGTATTATGGTAACTTCCTAATCAGTGAAATTACTCCTTTAAAGTATAACGTGTTTTCTATTAAGAGAAACTAAGTTATAGCGAATTGTGGCTGAGAACAGACAACTCTTAAGACCCTTTGTTGAACAGAATGCTCTGCTTTAATAAATCATGATATTGTAATAGAATGGTATCTTCCTGAGTTATAATTTATAGTGTTTCTCTAGTAAACCTTGAATAGCTTATTTCACTTCTGTGGTTAAAAAATATGTTCTGTTTCCAGTTACATGTTCTCTTAAGTCTTCATCTCACATATGTTTGCCTTCATGTTTGCTTTACTGTATTTGCCTGTAACAATTCTTGCACTTTTAGTATCAAAGTTGCAATCCATCTGGTTTCTGTTCATTTCTTTGCATGCACCTTTCAGCCTAGTGATTTAAGGAAGCATCGTCGAAAGGTTAACTATTTAATAATATAGCATGCCTTTGTTTCTCTGTGAAGTATTAAAGAGTCCTTATCATGTTACATGAATGAACACTATGTGGTTATGTACTGGTGAATAATTGACACTAATGGAAGTTTTGAAACTCATCCACCAGTTGAAATATGCTGATGGTTCTCTTGGTAATAGGTCATTCGGGGACACTTGTAACAGTTTGCCTTTCTCCCACTTGTTTACCTTCTAATCAACTCATGCTTATTTATAATAGACAAAGGATTATTTTTAAAATTTTCTTTAGTTATTTTTTTTGCCATGCTGCACAGCTTATGGGATCTTAATTCCCCAACCAGGGACCAGACTGGTGTCCCGGCAGTGAGAGTGCCAAGTCCTAACGTCTGGACCACAGTGGAATTTCCACTCAGTGTGGAAATTTCCATTCAAAGAAACGGCTGAATCCGAGCCATAGGCGGTAGCTTTGCGGGATGCCAGTCTAATGACGGGGGTAGCAGTGTGCAGGAGCCTCTGTGCACCAGGCAGCTTGTCGAGTGCTTTCCGAGCCTGTCATCTCATCTGGCAGACACCCAGGTGAGGTCCCGGCTGCTGTCATCCCCATTCAGCAGATGTGGACACTGAGGCTTAGAGAGGCCGGGCCCTGTGCCCAGGCTCGCACAGCCAGCAGTGTGGTGCGGACTGGTCTGATGAGAGCCTGGACACTTAACCCTGCTGCCGTCCAGCCCGCTTTCCTCCAGAGGCCCTCGTGTCCCTCACGGCATCCCTGATGGAGGGAGCATCAGGAGGGAGCTCGCTGCCTCTCCCCTCGGGTCCCTTGGATGAGCCCCTGTTGTTGAGTCCAGTGCCCCGAAGGCTGGCCGTCCTTGTCCCTCTCCCACTCCCAGCCCACTGACCGACCACTCCTGGGACCTTCCCGCAGGACTCGGGCAGCCGCGCTCCAGTTCAGGCAGCTCAGTGCCCGGGAGCCCTTCTGCTGGGCACTGCGGAGCAGCACTGTGCCCTGGGGCTGGTGACCTGGGTGTGCTGCTCACCAGCTCTGTGGCCTGCTGTGCCCTCCTGTTATGTGAGGACACGGTCCTGCCCATCCTAGTCACATGGGCACCAGGGTGGCGGGCTTCCCTCCTGGGGGCGGGCGGCCAAGCTGGGGACCCAGAGGCCTTCCTCAGGAGGAGGCCCGGGGAAGGAAGGGGCTGGCTGCGGTCCCTGACTTTGAGGCAGGTGTTTGTCTCCCCTGAGTCCATGGTCAGCCCAGGCGTGTCATTTCCCACTCTGTTTTTGTTGTTTTCTGATTTTTATAAAGGCTTATTGTAACTTGAATTTGAGACTGATCCCTGTTCAGTTCCGTGGGGATCATTTCCAGCCTCTGTAGCCTTCTGTTGTCTGAGGGTTCTTGTTGGAGATCAGGGGAGGGTGCATAGTTTATCCAGCTGCTGTTAAACGGGCTCAGCTGTATTTTGCACTAAGTCACTTTGTTGTCACCAAGCTCCTGTGGGGCTGCAGTGGATCAGTATTCTTTAGAGAATCCCACTAAAAAGGCACAGGTTAGTTGGTTAAAACAACACACTCATTGTTTACAAAAATACTTGCCATGCATGTTTCCTGAAACTTCCCCAGGCTTAACCACACACCCAAATGTACTAGTGAGACCTGTCTGGACCCTGAAGGGGTTAATCTGTTCCCCACACTGTTACCACCACTGTCTCTCCTGTCCTCACACCCAGGACCAGCGGAAAAGCTGGGACTCCAGGAGAAACATGTTTTTTTTTTTTCAATTGGTTTATGTTTTAATTGAAGGATAATTGCTTTACAGAATTGTGTTCTTTTCTGGCAAACCTCAGCATGACTCAGCCGTAGGTATACATATACCCCTTCCCTTTTGAATCTCCCTCCCCATCCCACCCCTCTAGTCTCATACAAGGTCATCTCTTAGTGAAGACCTAGGGGTGCTTTATGTAAACCACAGTGAGCAAAGTACACTCGGACTGCGAGGGAGCACTTCAGCGTGTAGCCCCCAGTCTGTCCGTTACTGAGAAATATGAGCCAGTCACGTGGTGTTCGCATGCCGGGTTAGGTACCTTTTCTGTCTTTCCCTTGTTGTCCTGGGTTCCAGTAGGCTGCATCATGACAACAAATGATCTTGGGTGGTGGCACAAGCTGTGTCCTTTTTTTCTTCAAACAGAGAGGTCTGGACGGCTTTGCTGAGAGGTTTCTTCCTCTTGCTAGTGGAAGCAGCATCTGGCGATGAGCAGAGTCCTTTCTTCAGGGCAGTTCATGCCATGCAGGGTTCACGGTGCTGGCGTCACTCTGCTCTCCTGCCCGGCGGGGCCATCTGGTCGCTGGATTCCAGGGAGGGCGGAGCCCGGCTTCAGGGAGGCTCCCGTCCAGGGTGTCTGCACTCAGTCAGGTGCTCTCGCTGCCCCATGCCCCGCTTCTCTTGAACAAGACAGTCCTGTAAGATGGCACTAAGCTGGAACAAGGGTTTTTTGTTTTTGTTTTTGTTTTTTGCTACTTGGAGGAAAGCATAGCAAATAGATTTACAAATAAGTTTCTGGTTATAATGTAAAGCCTGTGAGGTTGCCTTTTTCAACACAGTCTATCATTAGCCAGTTTTACACTGCCATTTTACACCTGTCTCACTCAGCTGCCAGCTTTAATGGAAGAGGTAGAAGATGACAAGACTGCCATCCAATGTGAAGCCTCGAGCCCTGCCTCGCCGCGGTCCCTTTGGCTGGACCGGCTGCACACGGGGGTGCTGCGCGCAGCCAGCCCAGAGGACGTCAGGGACACCTGCAAGTAAGGGGTCTGCGCGCCTCGTCGTCAGTTTCAGGAGCCCTGCACCTGTTCTCTTGAAAGAGTTAGAAGGATGATTTTAAAGGAATCCCACTGGGTTCGGTGCCTGTGTTTAGTGGTGAACTTCAGGTGCTGGGGGAGAAGAGCTCAGTGGCCTCACTGATTTTAGAAAACGTCCGTCTCTACGGATTGACCCCGCTGTGGGAGCTTTCTTCCTGCTCTTGCTAGAGGTCTGCCCCGCCCAGGGCGCGTTCCCGAGGGTGATGGCCCCGTGCCTCTCGTGTTCCCTCTTGAGCGTCCCTCCCTTTTCCTCAAGGGTCTCCTCTCAGGAGACTCCATCCCCTCCTGTGACTGACACTGTCCTCATTCAGACCACCGCCTGCTGAGCTCCCGTCCTCAGCCAGGCAGCACTCGATGGAGGGCACGTGTGGTCTCCTGTGCAGCAGCTCTCCTGCCACGGCCGGGGACGGCCACCCTGCAGAGGTGGGGTGGAGCTGCCCGGAGCGGGGGAGCTTGCCTTCTCTGGGAGCCTCGTCACCTGCCAAGCGGCGAACCTGAGGGAGGGTCGGAGCACCCTCTGCACCAGCTGGCCTGGAGTCAAGCCCTCCCCGGGGTGGGGGGGGGGCTCCAGTCGGAGACTCTCAGCTTCCTGGGGCGGATGTCTGTGGCCGGGAGCCTGCATTGCTTGTGTGGAGTGTGGTTGGTGAAGCAGCCTCCACTGTGTGCTTGAGGTTGAGGCGCGGGTGTTGCTGGGTGGCCGGTTCTAACAGTAGATCTTGAGGAGGGGTGTGTGTTTGCACGAGGCCGCTGGTTAAAGGTCCTTCTCGCTCCCCGAATCTCGACCGGCTCTCAGGACGGCCCCGGGGGCAACCCCAGCAGCAGCACCATCAGCCAGGACTCGCTGCACAAAGCCCCGAAGAAGGGCATCAAGTCGTGCATCGGCCGCTTGTTTGGAAAGAAGGAAAAGGGCCAGCCTGGACACCCGGCAAGGAGGCCTTAGGACCAGGTGGGTGCTTCCCCGTTGAGAGGGAAGAGAACCTGCAGGCTTGTGCCTTCTGTGTCTCCCCCCCTGCCCCACGAGGCTCCTGTCACTCACACTCGGGGTCCTCCTGGGAGCAAGAGTGGAGGAGGCATCCGTCTTCTTGGTGGGTCCAAGATGATCTGATGAGTTAATGAGTGGATGTGTGGATGAATTATGTCTAGAGGGATGGATGGATGGATTAGTGAGTGGATGGATGGATGGATTAGTGAGTGGATGGATGGATGAACAGATGACTGGCTTGATGGGTCGACAGAATTCGTGAGTGGGTGGAATATGGACTAGTGAGTGTATGGATGGTTGAAGAGATGGCTGGCTCGATGGGTGGATGAACGAAGCATGGAATGAATAAAGCAGATGTTTATACTCCAACGCTAGAAACATATTCTATGAAGTTGATTGAGTAGGAGCTGGGCAATGATTGACTCCTCCAGAGCACTGACAAGTGTTTGGAAACGGCCTAAGTGCTCATCAGTGAGGGGTGAGGTCCAATCTGTGCACATCCCACGAGGAGCAGCCCTCCTCCTCCTTCCTGCCACCTTCCTCGTCCCCAGGAGCTCCTCAGGGGTTCTGCCCACGACCCCCACAGTCACACAGGTCCTCCTGGGGTCTCCTCATCACCCAGCATGAGCATCAGGCCCCCATCTCTCTCGGCTTCACCTCCTTGAGGACAGGGTATGTTCCTGCCTCTTCAGCCAGATATTTGTACAGTATCTTGTTTGTGCTGGGTGTGGGATATACACCCAGGGGTAAGTAAAACAGATGTGGTCTGGACCACAGTTAAGACACACGAGAGAAAAAGGAGCAGCTTATTAAATGCTGTCCCTATTATTAGTAAAGACAACGCTGAGATGGATGGTGCATTGATTATATACCAGATGCTGGGTGTGCCCCTTCCCAAGCAGGGGCTGCCACCTCCCGATTTACAGAGGAGGACACAGTGATGGTCACGCGGTCAGGGAGTGGTGAGGGCAGGTGCACACCCACGCAGTGGGACCATGCACTTTGCCGAGCCCCAGCCACCGCTCTGGTGGATGCAACAGGAATGAGATGGTTCTATGGCATCACTGACTCAATGGCCTTGAGTTTGAGCAAACTCCAGGAGATACTGAAGGACAGGAAAGCCTGGAGTGCTGCAGTCCACAGAGTGGCAAAGAGTTGGACACAACTGAGCGACTGAACTAAAGCCTGAGTGTGTGCTAAACTGCTTCGGTCGTGTCTGACTCATTGCGACCCCAGGGAGTGTAGGCCGCTAGCTCCTCTGTCCATGGGATTCTCCAGGCAAGAATACTGGAGTGGGCTGCCATGCCCTCCTCCAGGGCATCTTCTCGACCCAGGGATCAAACCCACATCTCGTTATCTCTCACATTGGCAGGCAAGATCTCTACAGCTCGCGCCACCTGGAAAGGCCCCGTGAACGCTGACAACTAGGAAATGCAGAAAAGAAGGGCTGCTCCTAAGTTAAACTGGAAGAGCCGCAAGCACAGGTTGTAAGGAGGAAACCACACGACGAGTGGCGACAGTGCGGACAGAAACAAGCAGGGACACCTTCACCCACATAAAACAAGTGTGCCGTTCAGAAGAGGGGCCCGTCAGCCCTTGGAGGGACAGTTGGAACCAGAATGAAAACCGAGGCCATGGTCAGCAGTGCCCATGCACACGGCCTGAGTAGCGTGGTGTCACTCACCGGGCTTCCTGCATCCCCAGAGCTGCTGCCGGCGGTAACATCTCTGAGTGCTAGGCCGGCAGCGTCCCCGAGTGAGCTGAGGCATCGCTGCTGTCCTTGCAGTGCTGCTGCGGGGCCCTCTGTGGGCGGCCACCCTCATCCCCTGCCCCGCCACCCACTGGGGCCCGGCTGTCCCCCTGGGATCCTTTCAGCCCCTCAGCGTGGGTGCTCCCAGCCCTCTGCCTCACTGGACTGGGTGGCAACTCAGAACTTGGGCTTGAGATATCAAGGCGACCGTGAATCTGGAAGGACACTGCCCTGGGGCCTGTGAGAGAGCAGGAGAGCAGAGCCCCCATGGGGAGGAAGCAGAGCTGGGGAGCGTGCCTACAGCATGGCTGCCTCCTCCACAAGTGCCCCTCCACCTCTCCTTGACCTGAAACAGACCCCAGCTGCTGCTGCTCTGCAGGTGATTCCTACAGATGCACCTCCTGCACGAGCTGTTGTTGTGCTGCTCAGGGGCTGCCTGAGTGTGCTCAGGAGCATCAGACAAGTGGGGCTGCCATGCCTGATGCTGGGGGAGGGCCTGACGCTGGGCTTGGGTCTGATGCTGGACTAGGGCCGGATGTTGAGGGGGTACGTCTGATGCGTCTTGTGCTAGTCTAGGATCAGAAGCTCGGGGAAGAGCCTGTTGCTGGCCGAGTGTCTGATGCTGGACTAGGGCCTTATGCTGGGGGGGGGGGGTGTCTTCTGATGCTGGACTAGGGTCTGAGGCTGGGGGAATGTCTGATGCTAGACTAGGGTCTGATGCTGGGGGAGGGCCTGTTGCTGGGCGAGTGTCTGATGTTGTAGTATGGTCTGATGCTGGGGGAGGGCCTGATGCTGGGGAGGAATGTCTGATGCTGTGGGCCAGTCTGATGATGGTGGGCAGCCTGCACCCAGATGTACACAGAGTTGTGATTGTAAATCTCCATGAGAAAAAAAAATCTCTATGAGAAATCTTTTTTTCATACGTTCCTGACCACCTTTGTATGTTCTTTCTTTCTGAAGCATAATTGCTGTGCAATATCGGTTTGATTTCTGTCGTAAATCAACATGAATTAGCCATAGGTGTACGTATGTCCCGTCCCTCGTGAATCTCCCTGCCACCTCCCCTTGCTACATTCTTGTTTCTATGGGTATATGAATAATAAAGACTGTTGACTAAATTAACATAAACAGCTCCCATACACAAGCATGCACATGCACACTCTCTAGTGCATTCCCCCGGCCACCCCGCCCGGGCACCCTCGGTGAGCCTTGACACCTGCACTCTCTTGCCACCCTCGGCCCACTGCCCTCGCCTCTGAAGCAGAGGGGTCCTGTCCCCGAAGATGCTGAAGTGATGGAGCCTCTTGTCTCTGGATCCAAAGGCATGAACACCCCATCGGTCATCCTTTGGGGACACCTATAGTTCCCCCTTCTAGCCTTTCCATTCTCTCCATGCGTTTCTCTTACCAGAGGGCCCATGTGATGACACGGGCTCCCATTACCAGCTCGGGCCTGTTCTCAGTGAGAGTCCAGCTTACCCTCGGCACTCTTAAGTGGCAGTGGGACATTTGGCTTCAGTACTTTATTGAAAGAAAGCAATAAATAATACTGTGATAAAAATTGTTCAAAAGTAAACTGTACGTACTTTCTCACATATTCAGGAAGTTCACAAAAGATTAATAGAAAAACAGAATGGTAACAGTGAACTGTACAGGTAAGTTAAAGGCGCTACCCACATGTAAAGAGACATGCCGTCTCTGTCTACCAAGATATCAGCGGCATAATAAACAACACACCGTGATCTGAACGCATCTCTTGCTGGCTTTTTTAATGTGCCACTGAACAAGTAAAAGTTACATTTGCTACCTATACAATCCAGAATGGCTATGTCATCAAAATCTAAAAATGTATGCCTAGATCCATTCTTTTAACAAGTTTACAAACAGATGTAAAAAGATGATTTACAGAAGAAAAATAAGGCCTTCGTCAGAGCTGCACTACGCTGTCTGTCTGTCAGGGATGTGGCTCCTTCACCGTCCAGTGCATCAGCTCTGCAGCGGGCGCAGGGCATCGTGATTGGTCCCCGAAAAGTCTCAGTGGAGAGGAGGGATCCGGGTCCATAGAGACCAGGTTATGGGAGAGATTGTCATAGGCTTCTAGTCATGCTTTCAGCCCAGATTTCAGTAGAAGCTCACATTCAGCACCCATACTTTTACGTCACTTCACGCTGCAGGCAAAAAGCATTTCTTGCTGGAAAAAGTACAGTTTAAGTCAGTCGTTAAAATGCGACAATTGGTTGAAATTAAGTTTGCTCATTTCAGAGTGATTGTTGGAGAGCTTGGTTAACATTCTGGAAGGATAATGCACACCGTGTCATGATGGTTTTACAATCGCAGGAAAACCCCTTCTCTCGTGGTTTCTCATTTAAAAATTAAAGAACGATAATGACAATAAATGCATCATTTACAAAAGCCCTATGTTTGTTCATAGGCTTTATACAGGCAAGCAGTACAGTACATTCATTTGAAAGACTAAAATCATGTATCAGAACATGAATTGATCTGAAAGTATATTCATAGCCTGAATATACAAGAATAAGCATATAAATGAAGTCATAAGTTTACATAAATATAAGAAACATTAAATTCTAAAATATTTTCTCTATGGTAGGCATGAATTTTTCACTAATGAAAAACCCTGTAATAAAATATCTTCAGGTCCATATAACAAGTAGTAACAGATTAAATTAAAGTTTGCACTGCCATGGTGGGAGGGACACCCATGTGCAGGGACGCGAGGGAGCCTCGGGCCGTGGTCTGACAACTCCGGTGGCAGCCGGGCGCCAAGGTCACGTTCTCTGCCGCTGAGGGCTCTCCAGGGCCGACCTCCGGAGACCCGCTGACCCTCCACTCCCAGGGCGTGGCCTCCATGCCCCCTCGGGACCAGGCTGGCCCCCGAAGCTCAGCAGAAGTGAGTCCTGACTGTAGCGGAGTCCAGCCTCTGCATTCTGCCATGCTGCCAGGTCCCAGGAGTGCCACCACCACCATTCTGCTGATACAGGAGAGTAACAGTTTATGTGGAAGACCATCTGGGTTTTCTTGTGAATAAGGCAGAGGTATTTTAGTGGTATCAAGTATTGATGGTTGCAGGTACCTGCTAAGGGCTTTAGCTACTACCAGAGTGAGGTCCTGACAGGTAATTATTCATGAACAGGAATAGCATATGATGGTTTTAACATTCTTCTTGACGGATGCATCATCCACCCTTCCCCTCCTTGTCACCCTTGATTGCAACAACTAATGTTTAGCTGTGCAATTAGTCAACTAAAGGAATAGTCAAATGTCTTTATAAGAATATAAAAATTCCCATATTTTCCTTCACTGAACGTTGGACAAAAAATGTTGCCTGCCATTTTAGTAAACAAGGAATGTTGCCTGCCATTAAACTCTTGGCCACTGCAGCTGCCCTTAATGGTGTACCTGAAAGGACTCGGGTGGAGAGAAGCAGGATGAGGGCCCCAGACAGGACCGCTTTAACATGCACATCAAAGGAATGATTTCAGTGAGCCCAGACTCTTACATCTGCCCATTCACAGAAAGGCAACTATCATCATTAACGTGATGTTGGCTTATTTGTGATTGGCACTAATCTTGATGTTTGACTACATGTTTTTTTTTTTTTCAGCAAAAACTTCTATATATCCTGGCTCCTCCCTTACCTCTTTGAGCTCTCTCCCTCATAGCTCTCTGAGACGCAGTCTCCCAGGCTATAGTTCTCAGTAAGGTCCCCAAATAAGACATAATTCTCAACTTTTAGGTTGTGCTTTTTTTTTCTCTAGTCAATAACTTACTTAGGAAATTGAATGATTCTAGATTTCTATTTGGTTCTGAACTTTTTGTTTACTCACCCATATAAAATGATTTGCCAATATGTGATTGTGATATTTCCAGGGGCCCTGAACAGCCATTCAGTTTGAGATTGCCGTGTGTCAGTGTTCACCATCACTGTGGGTCTGTCCGCTATTGCTGTGTGCATGTGTCCCCACAGCTGTTGTCTGTGTCTCCATTGCTGTGTGTCTGTGCTCACCAATGCTGTGTGTGCATGACTACCGTTTTGCAAATTCCCCTCAGCCCTTGGCATTTAACAACATTCCAGTTGTTCGTTTTACCTGGGGAGGAAAGATTTGTGGGACTGTGATATCTTAGTCTGTGGACTATGAAGAATATATGTCTTAAAAAGCTAGTTTTCAAGTTTAGAGGAAATACAGGCCTACAAGTAGTATAGAGACCACCCATAAACTCTGAGAGGTATGATGTATTAAAGGTCTATTTAAGTAGTCATCTAATAGTACAGAAGGATTTTTGCTTCAAATTGCTGAGAAGTCCTCAGTTCAACACAGAAAATGCTGTTCCATTTCTAATGTACTTAACATACATAGTTTTAATTTTTAATTGTTTTTATTATTTTTTTATATTTTGGCTGTTCTGAGTCTTCGTTGCATTGTGTGGGATTTTTCTAATTGCACCAGGCAGGGGATACCCACTAGTTTCTGTGCTCGGGCTCCATTGCAGTAGCTTCTCTTGTTGTGGAGTACAAGCTCCAGGGTGCACGGGCTTCAGTAGTTATGGCTCGTGCATTCAGTTGCCCCATGGCACGTGCAGTCTTCCCAGACCGGGGATCCAACCTGTGTCTTCTGCATTGGCAGGTGAATTCTTAGCCCCTAGACCATCAGGAAGTTCAATATGCATGTTTTCTATTCAAGTAAGATGAGAGAAACTAACCAGCAGACGGATGATTGTAAAATTAGGAGGTGGGTTTCAAACACACATCTAAATAATTACAGGTTAAGGTGACAAGTGCTAGGATAGAATTCTGTGGGAAGAACAGGGTAGTTGCTGAAGAGGTGACAATTACTTGGTCTTGGGGGACCTGGAGTAATCTTCATCATGAGACAAGATTTGAGGCCATTTGTAAAATTTGTATAAGCTTGAGAGAGGATATGAGGACTTTCCCAGCAGGTGGGAGAAAGTTTGCTGAAAGGCACAGATGTGGAAAACATTACAATATTTGGGGTGAGGAATTCTGTGTTGGTGAAGTTGACCCACAGGAGAACTGAAATTGGATTTGGGTGAAGCCGAGACAAACAGGGATGGGTGTGGTCAGATTGCTCTGGGGTGGCAGTGATAAGAGAGGGAGAAATCTGCTCCTGAGATTTCTATCAGGACTGACTGAGCTAGGAAGTGGTACCTAACTGGATGCGGGTGGGGAGAGACTGAAGTCAGCTTCTTTCCTGGGTGTCTGGAG